TGTGGAATGTGGACAGGGCGCGGAAAGGACAGGATGTGGAATGTGGGCAGGGCACGGAAAGGACAGGATGTGGAATGTGGACAGTGCACAGAAAGGACAGGATGTGGAATGTGGACAGGGCGCGGAAAGGACAGGATGTGGAATGTAGATAGGACACGGAAAGGACAGGATGTGGAATGTGGACAGGGCACGGAAAAGACAGGATGTGGAATGTGGACCGGACACGCAAAGGACAGGATGTGAAATGTGGACAGGACACGGATAGGACAGGATGTGGAAAGTACACTACAAGGAAATAGGAAAAAAAGGACAAATACAGGGCACAAAAAAAAATGTTGCGTCTCATGCTCAGTATTTTTTCTGTTTTTTTTTATTACTGTGTAGCCATTACTATAGCTCGCTCCAATTCATCGAATAGAAATTACAATTTGCCAAAACTAACCTTCTTTTCTCCAATATTCTCTCTTTCGTTTCATTACAGTGCAGTATTTTTTCATATTTATGGACTGTAACTGTTGCGCACAGAGTGCGCTCGGAAAGGGAAATTAACAATACGACCTGCTTCGGTGAAACGTTTTTACTTGGACTGCCTCTTTTTCTCTTCCTTTCGTGGCATGCAGTTCCCAACCATTATGTCCACGCACACACGAGGAAGGAAGTTTTCGTACTAATTTCTAACAGTAACGCGAAGCACAATTGAGTCTGCAGTAAAACGAAATGAATGAAGCCTCAGCCTCTAAGAAGAAAAAAAAAACAGCTCTATCCGTGCGTTTATTTACAATAAAACAAGAATGTCGACCAGCGTTTACATGCTAGTCTGATGACTCGTAAAAAAAAAAGAAAGAAAACGGAGGCAAATAAAATAGATAACAAAAAAAAAAAAAGCGGAAGAGAAAAATACTATTCGTACACACTCACGCATTATACACCAGGCACCCAGGACAATGCAAATATCGGCGCATACGAGAAATTATGACGCGTGAAGCAACATTTCAGCGATATATTGCGTCGCACGACAAAACAAAAACGCGGCCAGGTTTAAGTTAGGTTCAAACGTGTTTGTGCGTAATTAGTCCGCGACACGGAATCTGTCGCAAGTGTCTCCCTCTGGGAATTCACAAACCTTTTCCAGAAAATCCCAGGGAACATCTCGGCTACCCCACACTGCATCACGCGACACGGGGAATTGTGGGGTTATTCCGATGTATACACTCGAACTGATTGGGAAGCTCGTATAAATCCTGTAAGTATACCATTCTTTCTTGTTGTTAATTGAAAAGACGAAAACTTAAGCGACCACAACCAGCATCATCACGTATTCTGTTTTGCCTACTTTCTGCGTTCTGAAATCAGAAAATGCTGAACAAACCTGAAGTTTGTCCTTTATTCCTGGTTAACATTTCTCGTTCCGTACATTGGATCTTCATAATGCGCCGAGCAAGCGGTGGGGACGAAACATAATTCTAGAATGGTCTATTGCTTTCATGCATACACTAGCAGAATTTATTGAATGTCCATTGCGTAGAACTCGGATCCAGTGCTAAGGATCAGCTGAGAGATTCACCGTGTCTGCGGGGTCCTCAACGAGACCCGTCTTGCCTCTCCGCTTTGAAACGGCAGCTGCGGCTTGAGAGGAACAGCGAGCGCTGTAGGTCCCCTAATTCCAAAATCGCGTGCGCCCCAGCGTCCGTGGCGAACCACCGGCGAGGGCCCCTACTAATAAATCATCCCCGCGTTGTGGCCGACGGGCCAAGAAGCGGGCTGCGACGTTCCTCGAGTCTTCGTCGGCCCTCCGTTGACGTGAACAAACAAAGGGAGGAAGCGGCTGCCTGACCGGGAAGAAAACTAAAAAAGAAAAAAAAAAAATGTAATGGAATTAAAGGGAGAGAGCCTTCACCGACAGCGAGGTAAAAATCGAGAAGGTGAAGACGGCAGAGTCCCAGAAGCAGTTTCCGGCAAACGGACGCGCTGGAGGCAAGAGCACCTGTCCTGCTGCCACGTTGTCCCCCGTCGTGGCACTCAGCCAATCCGCCGCCGATCTCGCTCGCAATGGTCCGGACCTTCCACTGCGCTATAGTTTCAGATCACGATGCACAGATGGCGCTCGTTTGCCATCAGGCTTCCGGTGACCGCCATCGGTCATACTGAAGGATTCTTTAGCGTCGCGTTCTGGTGGTATGCGGAGAGCAAGTCTCTGCTTCTTGCGCAGGGGTTGCGGTGACGTCAGAACGACGCCGAGTTCTGATTGGCTCTGATCGAAGGATAGTGGGTAGAGCTCAAAGCAAGCTGTTTTGTGTTTTACCCACTATCCTTCAATCAGAGCCCACCAGAGCTCGGCATTCTGACGTCACCACAACCCCTGCAAACGAAGCAGACGAACTTGCGCTCCGCAAAGACCATTCCATTTCCAACGATCGCCGCCTTTGCGCGCTGCCATCTTTGTCTATACTGCTCTGTGTAATGCGTTCTGAGCATGCGCACAAACTTTTTTATACGGAATATTAAACACCGCGCATGCGTGCAACAGCCCAGCGACTCGTCATTTGTGGCCTGGCTGATAAGCGCTGGAGAGCTGTATGCTCCGTCTCACATTCGACCCCAGGCGACGCTACGATATGATGTAGTAAGTCAAGCAGCGCACAAAAATGACGATAGCAGAAGACACACAACAGACACCATGAGTCAGCAGCCGTCAGTGTGCGCGAGCACAGGCAATAAAAATGACGTCATCACATCCCCTTTCAAGCTTATGAATGGGGGATATGATGACGTCAATTTCGTTGCGTGTGCTCGCGCATACCGGCGGCTGTTGACTCACGGAAGGATAATGCGCCACTTATTATAGACACTGAAATGTTTGCTTCATCATCCCTTGAAGGCGCTTGCTACACTTTCCTGACGTATGAGGTAAGGCTCTCATATCGCGCGTATTTCTCAAAACTTGAATTAATCTGCGTGTCACAGACCCAACCTCGTACTGTTCTACGACGATCATCCAGATGACAGCTCTTTTGACAGGAACATGCGCGCCCCTTATAGGTCGTAAAAGTTGCGAATAGTACTCAACTGTGCGATCGAGAAAGTACACTCATAAGTTCTCACAGACGTCTGTCTACCTTAGCTATTTCGACTATGTATAGTTCATTGTCGATATTTAATCCAGGACAATCCTGCCTTCTATTATCCGGTAATCGTGTCAAACAAAGCTGACTACACGCCATCTTTAGGCGTGGCTCATGGACGATAAAACCCGCTGTATCTATATACATGTATGGTTATTCGTGGCAAAACTTATGGCCCGCGATATATTGGCCAATAATATATCTGGATTGCAATACCATGCAATGTTTTATAGTCTTATATGTATATGGATCGAGGCTCATGGAACTCAACTTATCAAGCAAGACTGTTATTGGAAAGGCAATTAATTTCCGTAGAATTAATCTACCAGCTTCTCTTCGAAATCGCGCTTGCGGTGTTCAACCCTGCTGCCACTGCATGGTATTAACGCGAAGTGTTTTTGTGCAAGCAAGTTCACTCCGCTGTGTATTGTAGCTCGCGGCACCTGGACAAAAATCGTGTTTTCATGCGCTTGCAATTATCAAGTTTATTTCTGCCCTGCAGTAGCGTTAACCCAGAAGCGCTAAAGCGCGATCGGATGTGAACGGCCTGCTCTCCCAATTTATCAAAGTGGATGAAAGTATTTGAATGATGTTCCTGCTCTGTTTTCTATCTCTAATTTGTTTTCAATTCTTACCTTACCTCTTTTTTCTTGTACGGGATCCTCTCTCTTTACATCGTATTTCATCATCGTCTTAAGTCGTCCAAGACGTGAAAATATATATATATCAATAAAGCGATTATTAGACGGGTGATTATCATTTGAGCTCATTCTCGTTCTTTCGACCTTCTTAAAAGACTATTCTCAAAACGACCTTCCCGGTTGAACCCGCAGCATTTGGCCCGTTCTTGTTACATCCTTCGTGTTGCGTCCTCCAAGAAGCAAAACCAAATGGGGCACTCGTGGTGTCGGAGTCAGAGCTTCGTCACCGTATTTTCCCCTACCGTACACGCATGCACTCACATACGCACGCACACGTGGTGGTCCAGCGGTTTGGCTAATGGTTCATGGAGAGCGTCCGTTCTGCTCTTGAAACATACCACGAAGGTCAAGACCCGCTCGTTGGGTTGTCCGGAAGTAGTCGCAAACGCTGGGCAATAAAACACCGAACTTCGCATTTGTCTCGAAGCGCGGCCTCCATGTTCCCCTTTTCCCGGGCCGCAGTAGGATGCACTCCGTGTGGTTTCCCCCCGCCTCCATATTCCATTTTTTTCTTCAAATGCACTGAGAATGTGTGCAATTCGGTTGTAGTGCAGACAAGACAAAATGCAAATAAGCCTAAATGCAAGAAAAAAAAAAGTATGTTTGGATGTTTTGAGAAAGTTGAAACGAGTACCTGCAAATAAAATGGGTCGAAATGAAAAATGGCGAAATGCAAATCAGACGTTTTGAGATACACCCACAACCAGACAGACTAGAAACACACCTGACACCTCACCTCTTCTTCTAATGGGCATGCAAGGAATGTCTGGTGGAGGTATGGAAATTAAGGCCAAGTATAATACAGGTGGCGCTCTATAGTATAAGTTGCCTCTGCGCCAATAAATCTCAATAAATCAGTAAATCAATAAACAATATTGGCGCAACTCCTACTTTTTTGGGGGGAGGGGATCTTGGCTGTCCGAGGGGAAAAGCCTGAACAGTTTGAACGAGACTATTTTAGGATAATTATTGAACTTGAGTTAATGATCCCGAATTAAAGAATCTGAGTTATTACCATCGCATGAAGTAAACGCCTTTGTGAGGCAGAGGAAACGAGAACGATGTTTTGTGCTGCCACGCAGCTAGCTTCAAAATGAGAAAAGCAAACGGCACTGGTGAAGTCTAGACACGCAACACCAAGGGCCAATGAACACAACGAAACACTTTGTCGTTTTTTTTTTCTTATGTACAACCGATCGACATTTATTTTTCGAGAACATTTTCCCAAAATATTATACACACGGCCAGCCAACAGGCACGCCACTTGCGCATCGTGTGGAACGTCCACATGTTCCGCACACAAACACACCCGCTTTCTGCACATGTACACCATCCCTGCACGCGACAGCGCGTGCGCGAGCATGAAAAAAAAAGGCTCTGGAATGTTTTATCGCGCCACGTGGAGCCCACGGCTCCCAACTGCGTTCACCACACTCACGAACAACTAGAACCACCGAATGTTCCCAAAGTTTGCCTAACCTCGCTCTATTTTCCCGCAAGAACGATAGATGGCGCCGCAAGTGCAGGTTCAAAATGACGTCATCATTATAAACGCGTGGCCATCTTGTGGGTGGCAGCAATACGCCGCAGTGAAAATACATCAACGCAAGTTCTCATTTAATAGTGCTGAGACATCCGTAGCCCTCACAGTCAAATCTAAACAAAAGTTTCGCTTATTTGCACCGTGGAGGCTATGGAAGATGACGCTGCACTAATCGATTCATAATATTGGCATTAATTGCGATGAATCAGTGGCCTAAAGAAAGGTCCCACTTAGAGTAAACTTGCAGAACCGCTAAATACAGCGTCTCACCTCGTCTTACGTGTTCACTGAGATGCATTTAATTACTTTGAAGTTGAACACTCCAAACCAATTATTGAGGAGATTTTATTTTATTTATTTTTTTCAGACAGAGCCGGCCACCCTGGGAACACTTAGTGGCTCTAGCCGTTACAAAGGCGCGCATTATTATCTGCTCTCCATGTGTTGATCGCCATGTACATATGACCGCTGGGTGATGAATATCCTTCCTTAGACAATTGTTTGTATACCTATTTACATCTTTTACAAAAACAAAGCAAGCAAACAAACAAACAAACAAAAAACACGCAATACAGACTCCTCCGTTTTCTTCCCTCTTCTGTTTCCTTCTACGAGTCCCGTGTCTATTAAATAATAATTTCAACGTAACAATCAAACAGTCGGAAAGCGGCACTCTCTGCGGTTCCACCAATGGGAGGCTTCTGCGGGTATGACGTCGCGACATCAGACGCTGAAAGGTAACGCCCATGACAGGGGAGGTGTGTACTCTCTGCACTAATGTCAGAAACGTTCAGAGCTTTATAGAACTTAACCGAGGGTTTTGTCTGCACTCTTCTGACAACCTGCGAGTTTTTTTTCAAACGAAAGGAAGATTAAGTCATCAGACGACGCCATAGCCTCTCGAATTTGAGGAAGGCAAAGCTAGCAGACAACGCCATGGCGCGCCGGCCTGAACACTTTTTAAACATCGTTGCCAAGGTGTCTGGCACGTGACGAAGAGAATAATAACCATGCGCATTGCTAGAGACAAATCTTCCTCTCTACTATGCATCGAGAGTTATGTGCAGTGACTGGGAGGAGCAGGTTCGAGCGTGTGACTTTTGTCATTGTCTTCCCAACGTTAGTGCTCGCGCAACCGAAGTCTTTTTTTAGAACTGCGTATGCTCCCGCATATGTATTTTTTGCATGCAACTTATGTAGGTCGCGTTATGTGTTCTGTTCCTCATTGTAGGGCAGATAATACTGAGTCGAAGCAAAGAAGGACTACCAATGGAATCCTGAGTACTTTGTCACAGCAATAGATCTTTCAAAGATTTAGCCTGGAGCTGCATGCAAGCTGTGAGGCTGACAGGCTCGCATGTTCGTGAAGGAGAGTGGAAGAAATGCCATTACGTGGCAGTTCAAATCGTTGCCTAGTTATTAGGATTGGAAAATTATACAAAAACTTTTTTTGTGTGTGCGTGATACGCCGTTCCAGAAACTTGACGGCGAACACTCTATAGAATTAAGCATCGTTCATGTTACAGGGGCAGAAAAATGTATGTAAAGAAGAAAGAGTGAGAGAGAAAAGGAGACAGGAAGCGAGAATCGTTAAGATGCAGAGAGGCAGGTGCTTGAGAGAGATTAACTTTACATTTAAGGTCCCTCGGCACCAGAGCAAATTTTATACTGTGCGTCTTGGATACGGTTAGGGAAATTGTCCTAGAACGTTATGGCTCGTGAATAACTAAGTAAAAAAAAACTTATGTATCGCTGACATGAATGAAAAAGAATGCTCCACTCGTCACTAGAAAACCCATAAAGTTATTTTGAGAAGCCTAATAAAATTAATAAAATTATGAAGATTAGGCATTCATTCATGCAACTCTCAGGACGAAATTTCGAAATAGTTGGACGTGTGCCTGTTGGTTATCATGGTATGGGACTACTTAAAAAAGACACATGTTACACTAAGTTACACAGATCTGCAAAAATGTATAAGCAAATAATAAAATGTTCCTGCAAAAAAAAAAAAAAGAAAAAAAACGAGCATTATTTTAGCACGAGCATGCAGTGGCAAAAAAAGAAAAGAAATGATGCAGTGAGCTGGAGGTTGCAGGTTTCATTAGAACTTGAAGTGGCAGCGAGGATTTGATGGCTTTCAAAGCGACACGGAGACAGGAGCAGGTCATAAAAAGAAGTGGTACTTGCTTCTTTTTTTCTTCTCGGAAATTTAATTCAATTTGAAAGATTATGATACTGATACAACTCCACCTGTTGACAAACTTATTAAACGGCAGTTGGGAGATCATGAGATCTTGAAGTGCCCAGTAATGTCTGTTTTGGTTGTTTTTTTACGCATTCAGAGCTAACCGTCCTGACACGAGGACTATACTAAAGTAAAGGTAAACTGTCTTTTCTTAGTAATAAAAAGAAGAAAAAAAAAACGCATGCACATGTCAATATCAAGTATAGGTATGTATGAGTCAACACGAAACTTGTCTGTAAGGAGCATGACAATGCTGGCCATGTCACTCTAGAGAAAACTTCAACTTAAACGGACAGTACAGCTGAGTACGTTCCTATTGATTATTCGACAAGTTCTTCATTGAAAGTATGGAGATTGTGTCGTCCTCAATTTCGCTTGACAAACTTTCTTTTGCTCTGAACAAAAAGGACAGCTGGACATTTTTGGGGTGGTGCCGACGTCTTTACATGGTCCTCCTCCTCTTCCTAACATCCATGTATAACGTGAAACACGCGTTCTTTGGCCGTTTGAACTGTTTTTGTTTCTATATTCATGAAAAGGGGCACGGAAGTTTGGAGCGCATGCCGCACCGAGGAATGACGCCCAAGACGTTTGGAATGTTCAAAGCACCCCGGAGTTCAGGATAGTCAGAATGCCACAAAGGTTCAGAACGCTCAAGACGTCAGTGACACTTGAAGCATTCATTAGGTTCTAGATATCTGATAACTTACTGGACACCCAGGGGATCCGGGATATTTCGGACACTCCGAATGTCCGAGGTATTCAAGTAGTCACTGATGTCGGGGACATTCAAAACATCCGTAACATACCGGCTATCCGAGACACCTGCACAATCCAGACATTTAATACACCCGGACACAGAGGGTACCCAGGGCATTCCGGACATTACAGACGCCCCGAAGAACCACTACAGAAGCCTCCTAAACTAAACCGACTTTCAAAATAAAACACAACCAAAAACAACAATAACATTCATCTGGGTCCACGTCCGCGAGCCTTCCTCACTGTTTAGTTTGCCGCACAAGAAGACACACGCACACACGCACACACACATCCGCTAGGTGAGGATCTGTTGGTTCATGGAAGGGTCCGTCTGGTGGTACCACGTGTACTGCGGCATATAGCCCGACATGGCGACCGCCTTGGCCGCGGGCGTCATGTCCCAAGAGTTCAGGGGGGGAGACATGGCGGGGGGCGTCAGGCTCGCACCAGGAGGCAGATGGTGGTGAGGATGGTGGTGAGGGTGGTGGTGCTGTTGCTGCTGCTGGTGAGGTGGCGGCTGCTGCTGATGGTGGCTCGGCGGACTCTGCGGTCCCGGCGAAGGCTCGCTGGGAGACTGTGGCGTGCCCGCCGAGTTGGGCGGTCCCAGAGATGGGGGACCCGGGGTGCCGGGACCCGGGTTTGGGGTGTGGGGACCCTGACTCGGGGTTTGGGGGGCTCCGACGCTGCCCGGAGTAGTTGGGGTGCCGCTTCCGCCACCGCCGCCTCCTCCTTGCTGCTGGGCCTTGAGCATTTTCTTGTACTTGGAACGTCGATTCTGGAACCATATTTTTACCTGCATGGGAGAGAGAAAACAAATGGCGCGCGATGAAGTGGCGACAAATGCAGAAATGTTTAACGAGACACCCAATACTTTCAAAGTTATCGTGAAATTTGCAGAGGTTACAAAAGTGGCTATATGGTTCAGAAGAAATGCTTCAATAACCACAGCTACTTTCGACGTTTTGACTGGCAAGATCACAGTTCAGTTAATCTATTAAACAACTGGAATTGTTAAACAAAGAAAACTTTCATGCGATCGAAACGCGCATTGAGCCCCTTAATTTACAAGAAAATGTCGATGACTTAATCGCTAACTGTACTATACCAAACACCCTCCTCTTATTGTAAATATGCAAACTAATGTAATAATGCATTGCATTGAACATTGAAACGAAAACCATTATAAAATAGGGAAAGTTGTTTCATCCACTATTTGTCTCGCTCCTCGTTTGCTTTATGATCCGTGCATAAGGGTGTCACAATATGACGAACAAGACACAATCCCTTTTGAAACTAGATTTAGTTGTTAAATGGGCAGTTGAGCTCTTTACTTTAATATATATATTTGAGCCAGAATATAAATGTCAGTCTAGAGAACCGCTCAAGAAGCGGTTCCCTTCTAGTGCAAAAGAGAGATTGATCCGAGATCGTGCTCTAATGTCGACCTCTTCTCGCGCACCGTGTGGATGATGATATCTAAGTTATGTTCCGCCTATGTCTTGGGCTGGCGTCAGGCGTCACTTTGCTCGTGTTGATCTTATATACTTCAACTCCAAGGAACAGGCTGCATCTTTCCGGGATTGAACTGTTATCAAACTTGGGTACTGTTACCAACAGATGCTCTCCTTCATCCGTCGCAACACGTAATGCTCCAACAGGCCTTTGAAAGGCGGCCGCAAACACCCCGTGCCGTTCCACGGACCACGATCAACAAAGGTCATCACGATCCCCGTCTGTTCCTTACGAGAAGGGAGGTCACCTCAGCTCCGGGAGACAGCTCCGGTCCCGCATCTCCAGACTTATCTGAGAGACGCGAGTCCCCGCTTCCAAGAAGCACGGGGTTCGCGCGTCTTGCGTACGCACTCTGCGGAACGCACACGTCAATCTCGGAGGCGTTATTGTTTCTCGCACTCCGCCAACCACACTGCGGCGAGGGCCCCCTGACGGCACCATAACGTACCACCTCCTCCTGTGGCGGCGTCGTCGTGGGCCGAACACTATTGTTAGAGGTGAAGAGGACGTTTCGGCAGCGTCCGAAAGACGCCAAGGAAGACGGCACAAAAGATGAGTCTCTCTAGGGTTTGCCGCGCCGCCAACGCCGTCGATGCCGCCGTTGGTGCCGCCGCCAAGGGCTCGCTTGTCGACGGCAGGGTGGGCGGGGACCTTCTTCGTGAGGGCTTCGACGGCGCGCCAGGTTTCGGGAAATGCCCGTCATCTGCTCGTGGTTTCCTTTTTTTTGCTTGTTTCTAGGTCGTCTTCCTTCTTCGAGACCTGGCGGCGTCCGTTCGTCTTCTTTCGAGAAACAGACAGCTCCAGCAGTCTGCGGAGCCGATGAAGGAAAACTCCGAACGAGGAGGGTGCGGGGGCTCAGCAGCAGCAAGCCGAGTGCGTTGAACGCAGGGACCGCCAGAACCAGAACAATAAAACTAACCTCGGTAGAAAACGATGAATGACAGAGGGTAAAAAAACGTAAGTGAGGAACAATCAATTCATTTTTTTTTCTTTTTAGTTTGGGAAACTAAATCTCATAGGAAAGCTTCTAGCGTCTTTAAAGCATGGGGCAGGTTTCACATGATTGTTTTCGTCCAGAAGCACCAGTTTTCGCAGACACACAATAACGAAATCAGCATTAATAAATCTTGCGTTTTTCTTCCCTTTGCAATCACTTCTTCGACGAACTGATATGGTAAATGCACAGGTGACGTGGTCAATGTGATTAAGGGATTCCCTTTTCCAAAACCACTGAAATGGGATTATCTCTTGGCTGGGGACCACATTCCGCAGCGACTAGCTACTTACTGCACTAGCTGGGAGCATCGCTGAAGGGCCTCAATGACACTATCTGCTGATGGAGAGACCTTCCTAGCCGGTTAGGCAGACGGCAAAGAAAGCAACTGTATACTGCCCCAATAAAGATGGCTCACCACAAAAATAAAAAAATGACCTTTTTAACGACAGAATAAACGGTATAAATGAAGAAGGTATGAATATGCCAAAAATGTGTACAACTTTGCAAGTGGGATCCTGGCTTCACCTCGAAGCGCGCGTCGAGGTGAGGCGGCCCTATTCTCCAGCCAGGACGTTCGCTGCTGGTCGTACAATGTTGCCAAGCGTCTCTAGCTGAAGCATACAACATTGAGCGCACAGAAACACTGACAAATTATTTCTAAAACATACAAGTGCTCTTTTCGACCGCGAAAGACCAAAGCAACTAAATAAAATACTTAACCAGCAACAAATAAAACAATTGCAAAACTATCTAAAGTCTCAAAGCGCTTATCAGAATGCGCTAGAACTTAGTAGTCAGATGGCCATTGCATCAACGATGGTTGCGCTCGCGACATGCAGCTCTGGCTTCCACGACGTGCTGCTGCGATCGTTACAAAGTCAGCTCCGACCCTTAAACGTCCCCCTCCTACAGTATTTGGTTCTACGCTCCTGTGCGGATACCTCCTGCTGCGTTCCGAAACAGTAAGTGCGTCGCTAACGCTAGCCGTGTGCGATGCAGCGGACGCTGCCATCTTGTCTTCGCGCACCCCAATGACGTGCCCCTAGCGCACCCCGACATGGCGGAAACGTTACGCGGCGCCAGTATCACTCAAAATGGCTGCTCACAGGAGCCTTTTTTGCAAACATGTATGGTGATATAAAAAAAAGCCAACAGCAGGCACCTGGACTATAGGGTACAGGCATGCAACAGAGTCTCCAGCCAGTGCTCCCACGGGGCACACATACTATACAAAGACGGGGATGCGGTTGTCGCGGGATATCTCCGGGTGAAGTTAATGACAGGCGCAAAAAGCCGTCAGGAATGTGAGACGCTATGTAAGAAGAAAGAAATGGCACCCTTTTCGGAAGAAGCGACAGCGGCCAGCCGTGCCGAAGGGCTCGACGTCGACATCTCCAATTGCGATGCCCGAGGTGCCCGAGCTGGGGTGGCGAGGCGCGCCGGTCGCTCGCCGGCACGAAGCATCTCCCAAAAAGAACGGAGACAGGCAGTCTCCGGTTTCACGAGGTCGCTTTTCCTTCGTCGTTGTTGGGACAGAACAAATTTAAAAAAAATAAAAAGGAGAATTGCGTTTTGGCTTTCAGTCTCGGTTATCAGTGGTATGATGATGATGATGATGATGCCAATCATATTTATATGCCACTGTCTCCAAAGCACACTACTTGAATCGCAGGACCATGTTCCAGTTGCGCGTCGCACATCGGCAACGGTCGAAACTATAATTTCTAAAGTTCTGGTGCTGCTGAATTTTGTGCGCGCTGGTCCTTTTGCGCCGAGTGGGGCTAGTTTCATTTTCAAACTTCGGTCTAGTTTGACTGTTTGAGCCTTTCAAAAGGCTGAGGGGACGTAAGGCCCAGGTCCCAATGCAGACGAGGAATTGCGGATCAAATGACATTCCAGCCTGTTTCAATGTGAAGGGGCGTTTTACATACCCACCGCACTGAGCAAACTGTGTGCACGGAAATCATAATGAAAGTTGGAAAGAGAACAGATTAGAAACGAACACGTGAAACCGGAATGGGAAATAAACTTTGTAGTGTATTCTGTAGTAACACAAATAATCTCTTCTCCAAACTCCCGTAATCACAGGCGCAGGAGAAAGAAATAAGGTAGGCGAGTCGATATATGCCCTGGAAAATGACAACCACCAACAGGCACTGAAGAAACAAAACCAAAGAGGATAAAAGAAGCAAAGAAGTGTGCCGAGTTCGACACTTCTACACCCTCTGTCTTCTTTCTTTTCTTTTTCTATTTTTTTTTTTTTTATTTGTTATCATCGTGTAAAGGCACCCTTTAGAGTTTTTCGACACGCTAACTGCACCGAGAGCGAAACTTCAAAGCAATCCGCATGATGGCTCTCACAGTCGTGCGTACTCAAGTTCTACGTACGTGTGACACGATCGATATCAACTGGTTGGCTAGTTGGTTACACACATCCAAATAAACCCAGCCTCCTCCTTGCCCTTTCGGGCTGTGTCAGTGGTAGTAATTCAACTTGCGTCGCACACAGACGACGTGATCGCGACCTTTCGTTCGACCATGATGGGGCGGACCAGTGTGCCTAGATTTCAGAGTGTTTGCAACTGCTCGACCGGGGGTCCCGTGGTTCGTGGGCCGCGTTTGCAACACGAGCAGCGGGGAGGTTACGGACGCGGTGATCGTCTGCAGCGAGCGTTTGATTTCCTCCTCGCCACTCAACGGCGCAACGCATGCGCACTCCAGACCAATCTGGCCAATAGGCGTCCGCCATGAAATTGCCAAGGTTTTCCGGGGTTTTCGTCGCTGCCTCTCTTGTATCTAGACTCTCTAGAGCGGACTGTCCCGAGTCGCAGCACCAAGGGGCGCAGAAAGGAAAGCCCAATTAAGTCGATCCAGCGACCGGCGCCTCTTCTAAACAGAGGAGTCTTTAAGTGGGCCGCGGGCACTGCAGGGAGCGTGCCCTGGAGCGCGATGAAGCTCTTCTTCAGACGGAACTTCAGTCTTGAGGACGCGTTCAGGAGAGACGATCCACACTACGGAGACGTCATGAAGGCCACAGACAGTTCTATGAGTTCTATGGCAATGAAATTGTTATCATTCAACTGATTTTAGTTCAGTATTTGGTAATAAAAGGGACGCACATTTTACGTCTTCAGCTGATTTGATCGGCGTCATTTCGTATTAGCGAATCATATTTTAACTGTACTCATTTTTGCCCCATGAAACGGAATAATAATAAAAAAGTACTGCTCCTCGCGGAATTTTTTTTTCCTTTCATGTGTTTATTTAAGACATATGTAGGCGCG